GCAGCTCGGCAATAGGCTCTCGTAGTAGCACGTGGACAATCTCAACCTGCGAGCTGGTACCACTGTCCTCACCTTCTCGGCCAGAATGATAACCCTCAGAACCAATAGCAGCCTCGGCTGCATCAGATATGGCCACCTCGGCATCTGTAGTATACAGACGAAGGCATCGTTATGTATATATAAACTAATATCACCTAAGAATGTGTTGTTTGAAAAGAGCATTACCTGCGTTCGAGGGCGAGTGGGTTGCGCTCCTTTCAAAATTGAAGGTCCCCATGGCAGGGTCCATATCAGTATTGACTTCTCTAGTTTCCTCGTTAAGACGACCTAAACCTCGAGCCAAGGAGATTAGCTCCTTCTCTATCCCGCGACGAGAAGGTACAGGAGGATTTAGGTCTGACGCTAGTATCTCTCTTGCTGCCTGTTCAGGGTCTTCGAGGACACTTGCAACAGTGTGAAGTGGGTCGGGAGGAATAGCTAAGCTAGCATGTGCTTTAGAAACATGGACTATGGTATCTGCAGGAGCGGCCGTAGTAGAAGTTTTCTTAAGTAACATGGAGTGGGATCTTGTGCTTGAAGCCACCCCAGCTCGAGTTGATGGAAGAGAAGCCCCCGCGGAAGCAATAGAGCTCTGGGTGGGGGGGGGGGGGGGGATCCTTTGAGGTGTTCTGGAAACAAACGAGGAACAGTCAGTATTAAGAGGTGATGGGAAATTACAAGCAAAGGAACTCGCACTTACCTTAGGCCTCTTGGAGGAAGTGGCCACGGGCACGAAAGTACTAACGTCCTGATCAACTTTACGCTTGTCTCGACGAGTCTTGGTAGCTCGGAGAGCTATCACAGGCACTGCAGCATTTGACGAAACTAGAGGAAGTAAACCCGGGGTACTACAAATCTTCCCGCGAGCTGCTATGGATGTGTTCTTGAAGGGACGAAATGAGGTATCACTTTTTAATAAGGAAGGAGCGGGGACAGGAACTAGAGTACTAACCACAAATTGCTTGAAAGAATTAATCACTTTTTTCCAGTATGCTCTTGTTTGCATTTCCCATCTCCCTACTCGTAAGGTCGAGGGAACATGAAGGATCTGGTGATCCCTTAAGAGCTCGGCCTCCTCAGAATCAATGAAGCGTGGAAAACCCAAAGCATAGGTATTGTGGTCTTGACGAGTACCATATCCATAATCCCGAGCAAGTCCCTGATCCAATCCAAACTGCCGAGCCACCCTATGGGGATTGTAAACCTTACCCACACCCGAGTTAGGAGGAAGAAGGGCAGGAAGGTAACCAGCAGAATACATGGCAATCATTGTCAAAGCTGGAGTACGCCTCAGAGACTTGCCCGAGATAAGCATGCCATCTCTCGAGGCACAACACTCCACCCGAGGCCCGTGAGTATAAGGACGAGCCAGAAAACAACTCTCTCTATCAATATACTCTGCCAACTTCTTCTTTGTGGTATGTTTGTGCCATTGAAAGGATCGCTTCAGACCCTTGTCCCGAGGAAGTGCTGTCGGGCGAGGACCGTATCGTGGAAAATGCTCATATAAGATCATTTGAAGGAAGATTGTGTTGACGGGAGAAACCAAGCTCATATGCCCAATGGAGCGTTCCATCCGGGCATGCGCCAAGTTGAGCTCATGATAGAGCGTACCAAGGAATAGCGCGGCTAAAGGAAAGTTGTTGCCGCAGGATAATCTAACAGCTAAAAGAATAAGATCTGGACACGGTCCATCGTCAGGAAGACCTGGAAAAATGAACCTCGATAGCCAAGATAGGAGAAAAGCGGCGAGGCGAGCCGAGTCTTTGCATTTAGGACCATTAAAGGAGGCCTCTCCTTCTTGGTCTTGAGGAGGGAAGTCCCGAAAATAGTAATGGAGGAGCGACACGAAAGTGTATTTTTTCCCAGTCTCCGGAAACTCCTCGCGAAGACCATCATCTTGATAGCGCGAAGCAATCTTGCCGGCCGAGGTAACACCACTGCGTAGCTTGGCAGCAAGTTTGACCTTGTTTTCAGAAAGCACCCAGAAGCCAGGGTTGTGCTCGCCGAACACATTCAAACACATAAGTTGCACTACGTCCTCTATCGTAGGGGTAAACTTGCCCCACGAGGTAACAAAGGTATGGGTGTCGCAGCTCCACCGAGACACGAGAAGGGCGAGATCATGCACGTCCCGTGGGATGGTCAGCTCTCGATTATTCCGGACCGCGTCTGCGATCCTCGAATCTTTCAAAGTCTCAAGAAACTTGGCATCAGATAATACGGCATCTGTCCACAAATCCCACCCTCGGCCGTGACCGGTCTGACTAGTAAAAGCGAGACTGGAATGGGGAAAGTCACCACGCTCGACTCTAAATCGCAGCACCGAACTAGAAAGGATGGGTACTCCTGCCTGTGCATAAGGCTCGCCCTCGAATAGGAATGTGCCCGCCGGGGTCTCATCCACCTCACTGAGCTCATCGCTATTTGCCCAAAAGGTATCATTTGGGCCGAAGTAAGGAGCAACTCGCCATTCAGCCAAGGGAAGGACATTAGGGACATCGTCGCGCAAAGCCATCACTAAAATCCTTCCTCGAGTAAAAAAGGAGAGAGTGAGAATTCTAAGAAAAGTCAAATCTAGTTTATATGGTGCCTCACAAGGAAAACAAGTGTTGGCTTAAATAGTAGGGGCCCAACACCCTAAATGTAGCGCTTCTGACAGGCGAAAAGACGGAGGCTCGGCATTTAAAGCGTTATAACTCGGCGCACCGGTAAAGAAGCGACACGTGGCCTAGGAAGCCGAAGCGACGTGACTTCTCAAAGCAATGTGACTCCTCGGAGCTGAAATGATATGACTCTTCAGTAGCAACAATAATGATGGTAAACTCGGACCAAGTTAATAATTTGCTCGAGCTCCCCCCTTAGTGACCTCGAGTAGGGGGGCAAAATGTTGATGGCCGCGCCACGATAGCTGATTAAGTGGCGCCACCTCTGCAACATAGGCACAACTGGCCAGTGCTTACCTGGCGTGTCCATGATGGATTAGGTATTCTCGAGCTACCTATCCGATAACTGAACTCACTGGCCGAGGAAGGGGTCGCTACCCTTCCTCTACTGTAGAGGCGCCCAGCTCCAGTCGGATGGGCTCCTCCCCCCCTGGCTCGTTCGAGGGCGCTCTCTGAAAGAGCGACCTCGACTAACCTGTTTACACATTTCCTTTCTCGGCAAAAAGGGCCTCGGGATAAAATTGGGATAGGACCCTGCGAGGTCATGAAGGCAGGACCTCGAAAGGGACCTATCCCCAGCACGGGAATCTGAGAACATGTGGATAGGTGGTTGAGATCCAAGGGGTCGCCTCAACCCGAGGCCAACACAAGGGGGAAAGGATACTTGGTACCTAAGCTCGAGCAAGGAAGGATAAGAAACGCATTAATTGCGAAAGACGTTTGATAAGACCCGTATTAATTAGGGAGTGCCATTACCTCCTTTGACCAGGGGGCAAAGCGCCGCGGTCCATCCATCAATGTCTCATCCGTCAGAAGAAGAGACCATCAAACCTTTGGGTAAGAGCGGGGCTCAGCTAAAGGACTAAAAGACATTGACCAAGGAGGTAAACACTATAAATAGGGATGTTAATCAGCCTTTAAGACGGACAACTACCACATTAACGACTATCCTCTGATAAGCTCGAGCTCAAATGGTACCAAAGTCGGCCTTCCCTTCCTTAATCTCCATACTTAGAGAATCCCTTGTGTTGCTTGGATCTCCACTTAGATACTGATCTCAGACTTCTTGGCTTACGTGGAACGATTTCCTCACCCTACTCACGAACTATCATCAACAATATATAATTTTTTTTTTATTTTTTATTTTTTTACTTTTTCTGTTTTATTCTATGAGAATGAGAAACGATATTGTAATAATGAAAAAATTAGATTGTTCCTATTCCATACTTCCTATGTTTTAATTTATGCTACTTTTTCCTTATTTTGATCCTAATTGTAAGTTGAAATTTAAAAAATGGGTTTCTAATTTATTCATAGGATTTTCCTTTGATTTTTTTTTTTTTTTTTTTTTTTTTGTTTTTTAAAATTGTTTAGTCATAGGCTTGTCAACTCATTTTGATCTGTGATGCAAAACTACTAAGATACTTATGCTGTTATATGGTCTCTCTTCTGTTGATCCATGAGCTTTTTTTTTTTGCACTTATTTATTAGTTGACAAACCATGTTAGAAAACTTTTATAAATCAGGCTTTTTTCAGATTTTAATATTCTTGTATAAATCAGGCTCTATTCATGAACATTATTATTTTATTAATATACTTTCATTTATCAGCAATGCTTACTTCATATAGCTAGTCTGCCATTTTTGGTGTCCAGGATTCTGCTTAGCATATTCAGTACATTTGGTAAATTTGTGTATGATCTGTTATGATTAGTATTAGTCCATTTCCTCATGTTAGTCTTCTTATAGTATTTTGCTGTTTTCGTTAAATTGTTCATACCAGTGATAATTTTCATTTGTAATATTTATTACCTGATAAACCAGATTTGGCAGTTGTTGTTGTTCTGCTAATTACTCCTATTTTCTTATTTTTACCTTTGAATTGAAACAGTATTGTTTAGAGAATGCAATTGTTGTTCTGCAGCCTTGCCATTTCTATATCCCATGAGCAGCTTTGCCATTTCTACATCATGTGAGCAACAAATCACATTTGTGTTTATACATTTAAGCCAATTTGAGTGGCGGACAGTTGCTCAACTCGAGCACTTGATTATTATGATTTTTCCAAATATAATCTTTTCAATTAACCTTTGTCCACTTCCTGTATTAGCTTGTCTTGCTATTTATCATTGCTGTGAGTAACAGAATTTACCATTGATTTGAAGTTGGGTTAGAGCAGATTGGATGTAGTTTGGTTATGGTGCATTTTCTCTTTTCTTATCTTCTTCTTTCCTGGGTGTTCTTTTAGCACATGTTTTCATGTTGAATTTGATTCTAAATGGATTCTTTCAATAGGCCATTGAAAGAAGAAGAGCTAGCTTGAGAGAAATCAAAGGCCAACAAATTGAGAGACCAATACCCCAGGACCAAGTAGTTCTTGATCCTTCTGTATCTACATCAGGTGCTCAACTCGAGCACGATATTTCTATGATCTCTCCAGGTCCTACACTTGGAATGAAGTGTTGCCCAGTTTCTGTCGGTAAGGTGTCTAAGACATTGCTTAATATCATTAACCAGGATGCTGGAGAATCAAATTTCCTCACACCCCAAAAAAGGCTCCTGAACTCAATCGACACAGTTGAGAAAGTTGTGATGGAGGAATTAAGGAAACTGAAGAGTACCCCTAGTGCAGAGAAGGCAGGGGGGAAAAAAAGAGTGCGCACATTAATGTCAATGCGTTGATCTGCACAATTTTACTTAAATCTCCACATCAACGCTTGTTGAGAGGATAAAGATTGAGGATTTTGGAAGAGATGATTATGGACAACTGTCCTGTGTGGTAAGATTGATCATCCTCTGATGATATTTTGTGGTTTCAAGGGAGAATAAGTAGATACTTATGTTTTTTTGTTTACCTGTTAACATCCAGCTGAAAGTCTTAGATTAGGATTAGTAAGCAATTTTGCTAGTTTTGTTATCTACTTGATGTCTGGGCGTAGGGCTATGTGCATGTTTGCTCCTTGCTACTGTTATTTGTTGAAGTTCTTGTGATAGGATAGCAGATATTTTTTTGAATTAATGTACAGAAAGCCCATATCTTTGTATCTGCTTCATTACTTCAGCAGGCCATGTAATAACATTTTTTCTCAAATATAATAAGGACCATTTCATTGAAACAAAGTTTTCTACATGTGTTTGGTTACAATTATTGCTATTAGTCTCTCTGTTAATGTAGGGGCTATAAGCAAGGACCAAAACCACTGGGAAAACCCATTTTGGTCTCTTCCAGAAAGGTTTGAGAGGGCAGCAATTTCATTTTCTGCCATTTGGGAGAGGATCAAGAAGGTGCCCTAGAGCTTCACTAGCAATGCACGTTGGTCAGAGTAGCCTTTGTGCCTATGATTCAGTACTTCGAATGGAATTTTGGTGATTGAGGGATTGTCTTCGGTTTGATTCCAAGTGCCTAGGCTCAATCAGTCAATCCATTTCCATCAATCTGAGCTATAACAGATAGAAGAGGAAAGGTAAGTTAAAAGAACAAGGGGATAAGTTTGTTATGTCTGTGTAAAACAGAAAATTATCATCTACCAAAGCATTAACTTTTACTACGCTGTCCAAGGAGTATAACTCATGCATGCATTGGTGCATATAATATGTGATTTCCATTTGTTTGTGTGCCAATCAACCTAGGTATCTTGGTTTCACTTAGTTTGTGGCCAAGTTTCGATGCTAAAGTTAAGGTTGGCTTTTAGTTCTTCGTTGACTTGATTTGTCATGCACCACAACATTGATGCTTTAACTTGCCACAAATTATGGGAAGTGGTCTACTTCTGGCTGTCACAAACATTTGATTAAAATGCAAAAATGGACAGATTACCAATATTGTATTAGAAATATGTTATAATTTATGGAAGCTTAAATCTTTGCCATTATTATAGAAAACATTGCATTTGGTGATCTTAATCCTAGTGTTTAAAAAAAAAAAAAATGAATAAAATTAGACAAAAGGGATGAGAGCTATTGTAATAAATTAAAATTTCTATACATCATCAATCTTTCATCATAAGTAAATTACGTGAAACAAAAAAAAATGAACTTTATCAAGTATCTCCCTTATTATAAAGAGAACCAGAGTTTCATCTTTATAGAAAGCCTCTGTTTTACCATCACTATAGTTTCATTTTATTCACAGGTTCAACCATGGCTGATTTCAATGACTTCCTCATTCTTCTGATTGTTTGGCTCATCACCACCATCTTACTCTGGTCCCTCTTCAAATGTCTAACCATGTCCCGTCCTCCACCTAGCCCACAAGCAGTGCCAATCATCGGTCACCTCCACCTTCTTGGTCCAATACATCACCAAGCTCTTCACAACATCTCAGTCCGCTATGGACAGATTACCAATATTGTATTAGAAATAAGTTATAATTTATGGAAGCTTAAATCTTTGCCATTATTATAGAGAACATTGCATATGGTGATCTTAATGTTAGCATTTAAAAAAAAAAAAAAAAAAAAATTGAATAACATTAAACAAAACAGATTAGAGCTACTGTAATAAATTAAAATTTCTATACATCATCAATCTTTCATCCTAAGTAATTATGTGAAACAAAAAAAAATGAACTTTATCTAGTATCTCCCTTATTATAAAGAAAACCAGAGTTTCATCTTTATAGAAAGCCTCTGTTTTACCATCACTATAGTTTCATTTTATTCACAGGTTCAACCATGGCTGATTTCAATGGCTTCCTCATTCTTCTGATTGTTTGGCTTATCACTACCATCTTACTCCGGTCCCTCTTCAAATGTCTAACTATGTCCCGTCCTCCACCTAGCCCACAAGCTGTGCCTATCATCGGTCACCTCCATCTTCTTGGTCCAATACATCACCAAGCTCTTCACAACATCTCAGTCCGCTATGGTTCCTTAATTCACATCTTCATAGGCTCAGTTCCTTGTGTTGTTGCTTCCTCCCCAGAAATGGCCAAAGAGTTCCTCAAAACCCATGAAACTTCCTTTTCCAACCAATTCCAGACAAATGCTGTGGATTACCTAACTTATGGCTCAAAAGATTTCACCTTTGCTTCTTGTGAACCTCATTGGCCAAAAAGGTTAGGAAGTTGATCGATACATGAGATATCTGAGCTCATGGGAAAGTTTAATCTTTCTGATTTTATTTGGTTTTGTAAGGATTTGGATGTGCAGGGATTCAGAAAGAGCCTCAAGGATGTTCATGACAGGTTTGACAAAATGACACAATGAAGCCAGGAGGAAGAGGAAGGAGATTGGTGATGGAGGTGAAGGATATGCTTCACATTTTACTTGATATATTGGAGGATGAAAGCTCGGAGATGAAGTTGACTACAGAGAACATTAAGGCCTTCATTCTGGTAATTATTTTTTAATTTCTTTAGCATTTCTTGTTCAAATATTAATATAACTATTTTCTCTAACATGGAAGCAATCACGTAGTAATTAACCTCAAGCTGATTATCTTGATGAATAGATAGTTTACAACCATAGATTAGTATTACTGATTGATCATCATAACTTCTCCAATTTTCAGAAAGTTGATTTGATGAGCATGGTTGCTTGACATAATCTTTTTAAGGAATTCAAATAATATTTATCAGGCCAGCACTTCAATTGGTTGGCTCAAATTTATTGTTATTGTGTATATTAATATTAACAAATCGAAGCAGGGCTTGCTCTTTTCAAATACTTAGATGAAAAAGAGATACAAGGACTGAAAGCTTGTTATGAAAAATGTATGTGCAGAAAAGTAATAATCGCCTTCTTTTCATAAGAAACCTAAACGTGAAGAAAATAATTATGGAGTATGATTTTTCTCTCGTTCCATGAGACCACTTCTTCCAATTATGACTGATGCAGTAGTAGCAATTTGTGATCTTTATGACAACATTAAGTTACAAGATGAGATGGAAAGTTGACAAAACTATGATCCCAAGTACCTAGCTCCTGCATATTTCAATATGTGTATATATATATATCTATTATTTAGCTGTGCAAATTATTAATACTATTTTTTGAATGCCTCCCAAGTGAATTATTTCTGATACAGATTAATTTTTGGAATGGGGGAAAAAAAAAATACAGAGCTACAAGGGGCATTACTCATGCATGTATTGGTGAATATAATTTGTGGTTTGAATTGGTTTGTGCCAATGGTTTCAGTTAGTTTGTGACCAAGTTTCTATATTATAGTCAAGTCTGGTTTTTAGTTCTTCATTGACCTGGTTTATAGATTTTTAATTAAAAGAAATTTGAAAATGATGTGTAGCATATGCATGCATGGCACCATTGTTGTTTTTAACTTGCCACAAGTAGCGGCAAGTGGTCTAACTTCTGGCTGTCACAAACATTTGATTAAAATGCAAAAATGGACAGATTACCAATATTTTTATTAGAAATCTGTTATAATTTATGGAACCTTAAATCTTTGCCATTATTATAGAGAACATTGCATATGGTGATCTTAATTCACATCTTCCTTGGCTTAGTCCCTTGTGTTGTTGTTGCTTCATCCCCAGAAATGGCCAAAGAGTTCCTCAAAACACATGAAACTTCCTTTTCCAAACAAATGCTGTTGATTACCCAACCTAAGGATCAAAAGATTTCACCTTTGCTTCTTGTGGACCTCATTGGAAGTTCATGAAGAAACTATGTCCAAACTTCATGGGGGCCGAACACTAGGCCTCCTACTTCCAGTTAGAGCTTTATGGTGTCACTTTTAGAAAAGGCCAAAGCTGGCAAGGCTGTTGATGTTGGAGGAGAGCTAATAAGGGTGACAAACAATGTTAATATCAAGAATGGTTATGGATGAGAGTGAGGATCTATGGAGCTGGGGAGGTTAGGAAGTTGATCCATGCATGAGATATCTGAGCTCATGGGAAAGTTTAATCTTTCTGATTTTATTTGGTTTTGTAAGGATTTGGATGTGCAGGGATTCAGAAAGAGGCTCATGGATGTTCAAGACAGGTTTGACAAAATGATATGTCGAGGATCATAGAGGAACACAATGAAGCGAGGAGGAAGAGGAAGGAGATTGGTGATGGAGGTGAAGGATGTGCTTGACATTTTACGTGATATATATATTGGAGGATGAAAGCTCAGAGATGAGGTTGACTACAGAAAACAATAAGGCCTTCATTCTGGTATAATTATTTTTAAATTTTTAGCATTTCTTGTTCAAATATTAATATTACTATTTTCTCTAACATGTAAGCAATCATGTACTAGTTAACCTCAAGCTGATTATCTTGAAGAGTTAGATAGTTTACAGAATTGTGGGACACTGTAGATTAGTATTACTGATTGATCATCGTAACTTCTCCAATTTTCAGAAAGTTGATTTGATGAGCATGGTTGCTTGAAGTAATCTTTTTAAGGAATTCTATTTTTTTTTTCCTCTTTTATTTTTTTTCTTATAATTGTTACATAAATTCATCATAATCATCATTGCCTTAAATCCCATATGAATAGGGGTCAGCACATGGAATTCTAAAGTCATTTTTAATAATCTCATCTCATTGTTGTATGTGTTCAAACTATCTCAGTCTAGTCTCTCTTATTTTTAAAGGTACTTTAGTTGGTTGTAGTGATGTTGCCTGGGTTATAATTTCAGGCAAGATGGATTTTTAATTATTTTGTTGTTTAAATTTATCATTGCTTTGCTTGTCAGGAGTAAATTGTAATCAGATGACTGATTTGGAGTTTGGTGACTTAATGTATTATCAGAAAGAGAAAATAATTGTAACTTGTTCCTCTTATATAACCTGTTGTTGTTATAGACTTTTTTATATAACAATTGAAGATATATATTACATTTTTGAATATATATACAGGACATTTTTTCTGCTGGACCCAATACGTCTGCCATTACCATTGGATGGGCATTAGCAGAGCTCATCAACCATCCCAATGTAATGGAGAAGGCAATGCAAGAGATTGATTCTGTTGTCGGAAAGAAGATATTGGTAGAAGAATCGGATATGGCAAACCTTCCTTACCTACAAGCCATTGTAAAGGAAACACTAAGGCTTCACCCTGCTACCTTATTAATCGGTAGAGACTCAAGTGAAGATTGCACCATCTTTGGCTATGAAATACCAGGAAAGACTAGGCTCTTT